AGTCTTTCAGTTTAGTGTGCCTCTTCGCATAACATTTTCATTGTTTCTTATCGCTAGCAACTCTCCTCTAGTTAAAACCGGCTGTTAATTTTATTTCTTCCCCTACACTCCTCTGTTCCTTTTACTATATTCAGGGTACCATTCTGTCACTATCTTGTTCTACTTTTCTTGGGTGCTTCGCAGTAGATGGCCGGTTCATCTCCGCTTTAGTCGGTCTATATAATAATATATTTTTTGTTGGTCACATATTATATCAAAATTCTCCGTAGGAGTAGAGAAAAGTCTATTGCTATCTGTATTTGCACCTTAGGGTAGTTGTATTTTAGTTTGTTATTTCAATGGAATGCTTGTGTTATACTTCCATTTAGGGACGCAGATTATATAATATAAAGCAAATTTACTATAGAAAACTTATTAAGTTGACTTTGATCTGTACATACATATAATTATTAGCTATACTTAAAAATAACTAATACACATGAAAAAATCTTGGCATTAAACAATGAAACTATTTGTGTAGTTTGAATGTCATTACTAGAACTCGATAGTTTGAAGCTGACTTGATGACGGAACTCTTCAGTGGCTACTTATTACCTTCACTTAGAGTATGGAGTCAGTTACGATTGCCTAATGAAGGAACAAGGAATTAAATAATTCACCTCCTTTACATTTTTGGTTCGGTATTAAAGCGTGCATTTTCATATTTTTGTTCTTTTTTTTTTCATATTAGCTCATGTCTATGTACTAGTTCTACTTCTAGACTTACAAGTCTATATATGTATATCAATCTTATATATACTTACAAGTCAATATATGTATATCAATCAGTACAAGACTCCGGCGTCTTTAAGCTACAGATAGCCGTGAACGAGTTCCCAATCCGAGACTTGCAGAGTCCCTAACCCTGATTCCCTCGTCTTATGCGTTTTGCTCAAGATAACTTAACTAAATAATTACATTTCAAGGAAGATGTGCGTAAGACAGTCAGATTTAACAGAACCTAGCCAAAACGCAATTTTATCCATTACGCCAAGTCTGAATAAAAATATGAAAATAGCAGGAAAATGTTTAAAATTTTTGTTTAAACATATGTCATCGTATCACAACCAAATTTGCATATTTGGTTACAAAATTATAACTAAATTAATTTCTGTAAACAAGTAAACCTATGAAATTATCCGTCAATTCTATTCTATAACAACAATTCACTTGTTTTATAAGACTTTTACTTGACCTCAAAACTTTATTTTATGTCGCATTGATACTATTCTTTAGAAAATCTTGTACGGTGGCTATTATTTACGCTGACCATTACGACAACTTCCAGACAAGGTAGGAGTCACGTGCACGCTGCACGAAGACAGGACGCCAATTAAATGTACCCATTGTGGGTGAAGCTCCGGGCGATCATTGAAGAAAGAACAGCACAGAAAATGTTGGGGAACTCCGGCCGCGGTTAAATGTTACAAAGCAAATTTAATTTAAAACTATATCTTTAATTTTCAGGATGAAATGATTATTATTTAAAATTCTCTCCCTTAGAAAATCGTTTTGATTCGTAGAAGAAAAACTCTGATAATTATTTAAACTAAGTAAAATTGTTTCATCGGTATCAGTGTCTTCTTCTAGAATGTGTTACTTTCATATTGTGATAATGAGGTTTGAAGTAAAACTACTTTACGCTCACTTGACTTGGGGAGAAAGCTGGTGAATGGGTTACGAGAGCGTTAAGAAAAGGGTGATCCGCCGAGCCGAACGAAAGTTGAGAGGGAGATATAATACATAAGTTAGTGAAGATAGAAAGAGAGAGAGTTACGTTTCGTAGTAATATACGGGGGGGGGGGGGGGGGCAAGAGAGAGACCTCTCTCTCTTGCCCCCCCGTATAGTATAGAGAAAGAGAGAAAGAAAATGTGTGTTTCTTTCTCTCTTTCTCTCATAGCCAAGAAGTTCTACTTCAGTCGTGTGGTCTAAAGGACATTCGTTTTATTTTTTTTCTTTCTGGCAATCCCCTCGGATACCGCCCACCTGTGGTTATGACTCGAACCTACCAAAAACCGCATGCCGTCTCGGGTACCAGTTGCCGGGGAACCAGGTAACCTAGGAAGGAAATCCATGATACCCCGACGTACCTAGGGCCATCTACGGCGTGTAAATTACCCCCTCATGTGTGGGAACCTTTATGTCCCGTTTGTGCTCCCGAAAGGAACCGCGCGCTCCACAGAGCGTCTCGCCACCACCACTGCTTCTGCTAGGGTGACAGATAGCCTCACCTACCACCTCCAGGCCTACGCTTATGGAGGACGGAGGTCGTTCTGCCACCTCCGGCGCCTGAGTCGTCTGCGGTGCCTGTCCTATTGCCGGGCCTGGCGGGCCGGGAGAGTTCTAAACCTCTCCCGGACCTGCTCCGCTATCGACTTGTCAAGCATCACTTGCTCGCAGAAGGAGAACGCGGAGTTCCACGAACTCTCGCTCCGTATCATGGCTTCAATCATGTTACCGAGAGAGAGAATTCAGACTAAGAAAAACGGAAAATCTGTTAACAGTTTCGATTAACCAATATCCCACAAGAACAACGGGCGACTGCAAGGAACTCACAAAGTCACAACTTACGTGCCTTTTTGTTTTTATCTGACAATACACAATGTTTTTTATGTTGGATCCCTTGCATTGGAAAAATATGTAAATAGGGTAAATATATATTTTTAAGCTATAAGTTTAGTTTACAGAAGGCTTTAGTGGCTTTACATCTTTGGAAGATTGTAAAGAGAACAACATGAACTAAAGGGGCTATTCTAAGGTTTGGGGTAAAATTATTAAAATGAGTTTAACATAATAAAAACGGATTTTAGTTTTATATTTTCTTAGCAAATATTGGGACTTGTAATAAGTTAAACAAATTTGTTCCTAATACGAGTAAGTGATCTTAAATGTCTTAATAAATAAACCCCTCGTTAGGTATAGAACTTGGAATAGAGTTGAATCGAAACTAGTTTGATAAAAAAGATAAGGTAAGGAGCTAATAAAAGATAAGGTGCTAATTCCGCTGTTCGAAAACTTTCTAAACTAAACTAAAAATCACTAAAAAATTGTTTAGACTTGTCAAAGAACGTTTCCTATACTGAAAACGTAATATTTGACAGGCCAAATTTTTTTTTTGCGATTTTAAGTTTAGTTTAGAGAGTTTTCGAACTAGAGAATTAGTACCAATGGCTTAGAAATAATTAAGTTTAGATATTTATCTTTAATCTTCGTAATTATGACACAATTCTCCAATTTTTGTTTCCAGCTAAGATGGTTATGTATTCGTAAACTAAGAAAAATGCGCGCACTCACAATTTTGTTCATTTATTTTTACTTTCCTCAATTCCCCTTCCCCTCCTACTTACTTAACACCACAATTTCAACCGTTATGCAAAACCATAACAGGAACCTTCGTTCGGCCAACAATCTCCCTCTACTTTGTCCTTTTCACACCACTGGGTTTGTCGGTTGTTCGTCCAGGCTGTCCTCCTGTGGAATACGCAGGATGCCTACAGATCGATACTCTTTTAAGACGAAAGCGAAGAAGCTTTTTTAAGAATATATATAACTATTATATATCTAATGTATGATAGTTATATATACTCGTATACATACATACTTAAATATTTTATAATAAAATATAATAATTCTAGGTGATGTACTAGAAGCTCGTTAAATCTACCATTTCACTCGTAAAAGCTTCTTCGCTTCCGTATATTTCAAGTAAATTGACATCTACCTCATTCTTACTCAGCATCGCCCAATTGGTCGACTGACAGAGAATGCCGTACGCATTAAGTCCGCCGATGTATATATTTGTGCAAAAAGTTATTAAATAAATAAATAAGTGAACATACGCCAGAATAAAGCCGGTAGCCAAAGAATCATCTCAATGAATTTTGATTAAAAGTTGAGGACTCGTGTTCTGCTGTGATGTGATGAGTAGGCGTCGCAGTAACAGATTTACAAAAAACTTTAAACTCCGTTAACTTTGAACCATCTGACTCTGATCAAAGTTGATGGTGAATTTAAAAATCCTATAACTATCGGTCAATCATTTAAGATTTGTCGGTAATTTAATACTGGACACTATTACACATACAAATGCTTTGGTTTTATGAAACATAGGTATATTCTTAGTGTGCAAAGTAATGCCAACTTAGCTGCCGAGAGAAGACGAAACTTGAGTGTCAAGGCAAGGTTGGCAGGTGAAATTTAAGACTCGAAGATCGACCCGCCTCGTGAGTACGTGAAAGATATAACAAGGTGCCCAATTAGATGACGGATTTCTGTCTCACTTTGGGTCTGAACATAAAAAGTCTTTGCGCATTTTTATAAGATACAATTTTTACAATAATGGGACTCTAAAACTAAGTACAGAAGCGTTCTGGTGTGAAGTTTTGGTATCGGTTACTAGACTAATTTCATATACTTCATACATACACACATACATTGAACAGGATACAATTTTTGGATAACAAAACTTTTGTGAATATAATACACAAAGCTAGTTAAACGCTTGTTACGTAAAAATTGCTCCAAAGTTCAAACGTGCTTCATATATTTGAAGTCGAAAGGAAAGGAATTCATTAATTATTTTGTATAGTTGAAAAACATATCAGTACTTTTCGCACAGTATTGTACATTGAAATATAATTAATGATAGGAAAGGGATATCGCTCGTAAGTATGGATTGGGGTTTTTTTTCTGTTAGAGGGTTCAGACGAGCAGACGGGTCACCCGATGGAAAGTGACTATCGCCGCCCATGAAAGTCTGCAACTCAGGAGTCACAAACGCAGTATTTCAAAAAGATCAGGCTGTTGTTGTTAAAATATTAGTTAAATTAAATTTAAAAACTGAAACTAATCCTGGTAATGTGATTAAAACGAAAATGAGTAAAATTATTGTTATTTGCGACCATTATTATTAAAAGTTATTACTAGAATGAGGTCGTCACCAATTTGGGTAATCTACGTAATGGTTCTGACGTCAGGTAACTGGAGCGGGCTTTAAACATTTCGGCGTAACGGTATAATTGGACAAAGTATTTAGTTCAACATCGTTGTTCATTATACTCCGTGTTTAAATATTTTATAGGAGGTGGAGTGAGTTGTTTTTATGGTTTACCAGTGCTAACGATTTGACGGGTTTTGCCTTTCAGTCCTCCAAGGCAAAGCAGGAGGGTTTTGAAAATGAAATGAAATGTCTTGAGAAGCAATGACGAAAGAAACTCAGGGATTATCGTTTCTTTTAAAGTCAAGAAAATATTCATCAAGTGCAAATACATTTATCTCTCAGTAGAAAATCATTATAAGTTACATAATTTTGAATTGCAACTATTATTGTTGGGTACAAATTGAATGACAATACATGGAAATAAAGATAAATTTGTAACAAATAATAAATTACATTACGTCAAAAACAAAAATAAAAAACAAAAGTAAATATTAAAAATAAAGTATAGCATTTAGAAAATGGCGGCTGTATCTAAGGTGGTTTTAACATTGTGATATTCTGCAATTTAATTATACCCTTTTGTAGAAAACTTAGATTTAATATTTATTCTTAACACTTATGTCTCTCTAGTCGAGACGACCCCAGGAATGGTTTTTTCCTACATGACATTTAAACAAAATTGTAATTTTTTCGGACAGTAAGAGTGCGCTGCAGCATATGGCTCGATGCGCTTCTGAATTCAGAGGTGCTTCGATAGCCTATGAAATCTTAAAAACTATTATTTCCTTAAATAAAAGTGAAAAAGATGTAAGGTTGCAATGGGTTCCAGCACATATTGGTCTTAAGGGAAACGAACAGGCAGACCGAATAGCTAAACTGGCAGCTGTAAATGGAAGCACTCTAAATTATCTACCTGATGACTGGGAATTAGTGTCTAAATTTAAAAAATGCTGCTATGATGACTGGGTTATTTATTTTAACGATAGATCTAAGGAAAAAGGTATCTGGTACAAAACCATTCAGGCAATGCCTCCTCAGGTCGCATGGTTTGATGACGCTCGATTAAGCAGACACTATGTGAAACTAGCTCTTAGAATTAGATCTGGTCACTATCCATCAGCAAAATTTGCTCATTTAATGAAAAAAACTGACTCACCTAATTGTCCTGTTTGTAATAAAATAGAAGATGTGCAACACTTGCTGATGGATTGTGACAGGAATAAAAATGAACGCGAGGCTTTGCTCAAAGAACTAAATGTTAATTTATTAGATGTGGGTTTAATACAAAGCATAATGAGTTATCCAAGGTCAGAAGCAGCTAAAAAATTGTGTCACCTGATTACAGTAGTTCAGCAATGATTTAATATACCAGACTGTTTTAACAAAAATTATTTGTGTTTACCATGTATCAAGGTACAATGGGGTTGGCATATCCTTACTGGATCAAAACCCCGAATCAAATAAAGATTAAAAAAAAAAAAAAAAAAAAAGAAATCATTTGTTGTTTGTGCAGGTGCCACCCTGGCCGTCATCATCGATATGGACAACCGCACGTCGGTGATCTTCAGCGCGTGCGTGGCAGTCTTCTACACGCTCTTCGGTGGGCTCTACTCAGTCGCGTACACTGACGTCATACAACTGTTCTGTATTTTCATAGGTGAGTAATGTAACAAACTTTCATCTCATACTTACAAGGTGTATATTTGCTTGATTGGATTGGCTGTTTGATTTTCTATGTAATGAAATCTTTGAACGTTATTTTTACGAACTTATAATTTACTGATTAACTTAGGAAGCTTTAGAAAATAAACTATAGGTTATATAAACTGCACCAGGGACTTCCTTTCTAGGGCATACCTGGTTCCCCGGCTATTAGTACCCGGCGTGCGGTTTTAGTCGGTTCGAGTCCGACATGCCACCGACAGGTGGTATCCGAGGGGATTTCCGCACGAAAAAAAAAAAAAAAAAAAAGGTTATATAAACTGAAAAGAACCGCGATTTATTGAAAAGCAAACTAGAAAAAAATATAATTCATTGCTATTAATAAAAGAAATGCTTCTTCTTTAAATATCTTAAAAGGTTTGCGCTTTTATTGGTGTATTGGTAAATTATAAAGCTAAGAAAAGTGTTTGTTTGTGGCGTACTTTTTTATCGGACGCCATCTGAGGGAGCATATATAAAAAAGCCAAATTAATTTATCTTTAAAACTATGACAGTAATTAGTATGGAGTCCTTAGAGCTAGGCAGGCTTACACTTAGTTCCCTTTTTTGGTGCCGTTCATCAACAACTCTCTTTACATTAATATTGGAGTACTTCTCTGTCCGCTTAACTGTATCTTTACCTGTTACTGTCTGTCGAACCGTTTCTTAGTTTCTTTCTTTCTTACGTGTCGAACCGTGGAGGTATACCAGTCAAATAAACATCAAATATTCATATCAGCGGTCCTAAGGAGTGTTAATTTATTATAAGTAAATATGGTTAATACAATTCTTAGGTCTTTGGATGTGCATACCATTTGCGTGGGCCAACGAGCATGTGAAACCGCTGAGTTCAATGGAGGTGGACTGGATAGGCAAGGTGGAACCTGAATATTACTGGTTTTATTTGGACTACGGGCTGCTACTCATCTTCGGTGGGATACCATGGCAGGTTAGTCTTTTGCTTGCAATCGAGAGACGATAATACTAAAAAATTGCTATAATTTGTACCAGTACGAAATTACTCTAAATACACGGATAACAAATAAATAATAATATTCTGGGACATTAAAAAACGCTAACTAGTAGTACTTTTACCTAGAAATCCGAGCGTCTTGATTTTTTTTTATTTTTACATATTTTGATGTTCTCTTTCCAAGTTTTATCTTTGCCGATCGTGCCGACAGCCGCCATATTGGAAAATGGCGCCTAATGGCTGTTTTTCAAACATTACCTACTTTCTGACTCGTTTTGCGATAAAACATTAATATACAAAATTAAATCTGAGAACATGTCCTTTAATTTATGAAATGTTAATTTTTGCTGTAAATAGTTTTAGCATACGAGCGCAGTAACGTTTATACTTTGCAGCACTGGTACAACATGCGTTTTAGTTAAAGACTTAATTCTATACTACCTCGAGGTAGAGTAAACGCAGCAAAATGCTATTATTCATAGAAAGTAACACGTGTTTATTGTGTGGTTTTCCCATACGTGGCTGTACATTAACTATACGGTTCGGTATTTAGGTATATTTCCAACGCGTGCTCAGCAGTAAGACAGCCGGTCGCGCTCAGATTCTGTCTTACGTGGCGGCCATCGGCTGCATCTTCATGGCCATCCCTCCGGTACTCATCGGAGCCATCGCCAAGGGAACCGGTTGGTATTCTTGATATTTTTCTTTCTTTTAAATTTTCAATTACAATTAGATAATATCTTTATTTCTTTTTTATGGTTTTTTAATACCTTTGGTTATCAAAAAAAAGTAGAGTAAAAGACCATGGCAAAGTTATTTTTCGTCAGACATGGGCTGGCTCAACCGCAGTGACACCGCAGCCTTATATAAAACCAAGCGGAAACGCACCTCCCCTGTTTTTGGGGACAGGGGTAACTCAAAGCTCGGCCATTTACTTGCATTTCTTAAGGGACATGGGTCTATGGGTGCCGGTAGTCACTTACCATCAAGTAACGCGTTTGCTCGTTTGCCTCTCCACCATAAAAATCATTTATGTCAGTTATCTAAGTGCATGAACGTTCTGCAGCATGGAACGAGACCGGCTACAAGGGCGACCTGACCGAAGACGGCCAGCTAACCTCGGAACAGACTTCAATGATCCTGCCATTGGTGCTGCAGTATCTTACGCCCGACTTCATATCGTTCTTCGGGCTGGGCGCCGTGTCCGCTGCCGTGATGTCTTCAGCTGACTCCAGCGTGCTCAGTGCTAGTTCTATGTTCGCCAGGTGAGAGAGTGAGATTATTTTTTTTGCTGTAAGGAAAATCTTGATGAGAAACGCTTTAGTATTTCAGATTGGAAGTGAACATTTTATAATACAATGAAGCTCTTAGGAGCAACAATGCAAACATGCAACAATGTATAGGTTTTACACTCAAAAAATTTATTATGAGTAAAAGTGCGTTCAAATACACTCTGAAAGTGAGTGCAGAGGAACGGAAGAGTGAGCAAACGATTTATTGACGTAAAGATCTAATGCTTCCATAAAATGCCCAGTTTCTTCATGCTCTTTAACGACGACGGTTTAGATTTTGCTTGTCCTTAATGTTTTTTAAGAACCGATTTTGAAAATTCTTTTTATCTTAAAGGATATACTTTCCGCTTCCTCTCATTCGAATTTAAAGAAAATTCTACCCCCAAGAGTGCAAATTGAGGACAGGAAAAACACAGATTATTAAAATTGATCATGATACAGGTGCATTGAAGTTGGTTATTTTTCTTTCAAAGTTAGTTATAAATACAAAACTACGTACAGTTCTAATTGTATTTTTGTCGGCAGGAACGTGTACAAGCTGATCTTCAGACAGAACGCGTCAGAGATGGAGATCATCTGGGTGATGAGGGTGTCCATCTTAGTGGTGGGATTCCTTGCTACCCTCATGGCCCTTACCATACCCTCCATCTACGGTCTGTGGTGAGTGACCCCCTGCCTTAAATATGTGAAGTGTGAAGGCCAAGGGTAACACTTAGGCCGCAGGTTATTACGAGTACGGGCTACGTAATCGAAAAATATTAGTATTTTCATATATTCACCGGTGTAGTTTGTATTTGTGTATTTAAATAATAATGTTTTTGGTTGGCGCTAAAGTAAAAGAACACAAAGTTAAATCTGACTTAAGTTGGTTTTGAAAAATACTAGTGTAGTTATTAAGTGGCTATATTTCGAAAATAGCAGAAATCTTAGAAAATCTATATTTTAGATGGACAAATTATTTATCTACATGCGTACTAGTTTGCAAGTTCTCTTGATCTTGGTTGCAAAATGTTATTATAATTTTACTGACTTTATGAATGGCAGCATTTTATAAAAAGAAATAATTGTTTTGACATGAAATTGCTGACATTTATTTCATCATCATCATCATTATCAACAGCCTCTAGTAGTCCACTGCTGGACATAGCCCTCTCCTTAGAATTGAGGGTTTGGCCTACTATATCACGCTTACGAGATGGGTCGTTATAGAGTTTATTTCAAGTTTTCCATCTCTTTGCAGTGCTGTGGTCCCGCGTAGTTTGCTCCCTTAGTCGGCTCTTACGACACCCACTTGATGAATAGGGGTGGTGACACTCCATATTGTTAATCCGTCACCACACGGACATTTGTTTATTTAATAATTTTATTATATCATAAATTGACCAAGCAAATTTAACATATAGGTAGTGTTTTTGTTTTATTATGTTTTGTTGTAAAAACTAACTAAAGTGTAAATATGTTTTTGCATGTCTCGTCTCATGGTTTTACCTTTATTAACAACTTAATATGTGTACCCATGTTCGCAAAATAAATTAATTGATTTGTTCCATGAACCAAACTTACCCTTGTCCGGTGTTTATATTCAGTTAGATATTTGTATAACTTACAAAATATATATCAATATCATTTCACAGCCATAAACTCGCTTCATTTAATGTTTAACCTACATCTATAGTATATAGGTATATAGGTATATATAAGATGTTGTCCTACTCTAAATATGTTCTAAATGCAAATACTCTAAATGCAAGTGTCAAAAACTTCAAACAAGTAAACACACCTTTGCACACTGTTGTATAGAGCACGATGCGTGCTATTTCATGCACGCCGTGAATTCGTACAACACAGATGTATCATTTAAGACGGTTAATTCATAATAATTCATGTTTAGAGATTGTGTATTGGGTTCTTTATTAATCATTTGATACATTCCAATATTGAAGGCGAATACCGCTCCGATGTTAACATTGGTACGAACATGGTAAAAGTATCGATTAAACACAACTTATTTAGGTTAGTTTCATGCAGCTATGCTTTACAAATACTGCGCATATAGATACAGAATAGCTCGAGATGTTAAGCATCAAATCGAACTGAGGAGGCCAAAACCGTTGTTTCTAAGGAGAGACCTATGTCAAGTGGACTATTAAAGGCTATTGATGATGACGATGAACTCGAACTGAACTCGAAAGGGTAGGATATATGTGTTCAATAGGCAGTTTTATCTTTTTTTTTCTATATACTGATAATATAATGTATATGAAAAAATAACCCATTTCTATTTTGTCTGCTTTGACATCAAAGCTGTTTGAGAGTCTTGTTCACGGTGAATTATATCCACACGTCTATAATATTATCATACCTGAGCAGCATGGCTTCGTTAAACGGCGTTCAACCACCACTAATCTCATGCTATTCACTAACTTTTTGTTCAAAAGTAAGGATGATAATGTTCAAGTTGACGCTGTATACACCGACTTCCAGAAGGCTTTTGACAAGGTAGATCACAAATCACTCCTTGATAAAATTGCCTTCAATGGTATTCGTGGCAACTTACTACGCTAGTTCACATCTTACATTTTTAATATGACTCAAAAAGTAGTAATCAATCACTTCGAATCTGACTCTATAATCGTCACTTCCGGGGTGCACCAGGGATCAATCCTGGGCCCTCTCATTTTTTTTTATTCTGTTTGTCAATGTCACAAATGTCAGAAATATTGTCTTACTAACTCACACTTTTTAATGTATGCTGATGACATCAAAATTTACAAGGAGTGCTATAGCCTACAAGTCTTTTAACTTTTACAGGTCGACCTAAACCAACTTTAACTGTATTGTTCTCGTATTAAACTACATCTCAGCATCCCCAAATGTAAAGCAATAACTTACACAAAGAAGAAAATGATAATACACAATTACAATTTACACAACATTGCTTTACAAAAGGTTGACTACATCCGTGACTGGGGTGTCACCATTGACTCAAAACTACATCTAGTTCTACATATAAACAATATTATTAGTAAATATTTTCAAATGTATAGCTTTGTTATGAGATCTTCCAAAGATTCCAAGCGCCCGTCTACTTTACTACTCCTACATAATACTCTTATAAGATCTCAACTATACTTTGCGGTTCCAATTTGGGATCCTATTTATGTCAATTATGTAACCCGACTTGAAATGGTTCAAAGGAAGTTTTTGGGAACCATGCACTACAAATTTCACCACTCTAAATTACCCTATCAAGATCTTCTTGTAGAATGGAGTCTAGACGCAAGTTTCTGATGTGTATGCCGTTACATGGCATATGTAGTAATAAGTTTGATTGCAGCAGCATCACTAATCAGTTGTGTTATGTGGTGCCTAGAACTGTATTGAGGCGCGTCGAGGTACGCGTACCTCGGCTGTTCCACACTGGTAAATGCGGAACCAATGCCGGTGACCGGTTTTCTCTCGGTCACATTGTGGAAACGTACAACACACACCTTGCCAATGTTGACATTTTCGCACAGTCGCAAACAAAATTCAAAATTGCAGCAACTCAATTTTTTAAAACTTTGCATTAGAGTTTAACTTCCATAATTTATATAAAATTAAATATATATACTCGTTTATATATATATAAAATACGCACGATTTACACTTCGTTCCTTCAAATATTATTTCGTGGACATTGATGTGGGTTGCACGTTCACTCAACCGATTATTTACTCTTATTTTAAACTAGTTTTTACCCAACGTGTAACTGTTTAACGTCCCATTAAATAAATAAATAGATATGAATAATTCCATGGAAACAAGCATTAAAAAAAGTTTTTTTGATGATCTATGTGGCGCGGTGATTCAGCTTTGTTTCTATAGATACTAATATTATAAAGTTGAAAAGTTTGTTTGTTCGGTTGAATGCTCTAATCTCGAAAAAACATTTTAGTCCTCGATAGCCCATTTAAAGAGAAAGGCTACAGATTACATAACCTCGAACGACTAATATTAGGGGAGCATAATTGAAAATTATTGCAAAAACAGAGAACATTTATTTCTTTTGAGCTTTCCATTCCTCTTTGACAAGGAAGCTAGATTGTGGAGAATAAGATTTAGACTGCAGTAGTTCAAAAAGGTCAAGGTTGAGTACCGGTATATCGTGTATTGTGATTTGAGAAGAAACTGGAAGAGGACATTTACTAGCAATATCTACGTAACTAGTTAGAAAAACATTAAGTTTTAGTCGACTAAAACTATCAGTTGCCGTATAAATGGCGTTTAAATTTTCCTTGTTATAAATATAAAGTTCACATATGCGTTTACCAACTTAGGCAGAGGGTTGAAGGGTGATGTCATTTAAATATCGTATTCACATTAATACAAAAGTTTGAGTGTTTGTTGAAGATCCGAAATGTTATTAGTACTACCCTTTTTATAACAGGGTCGGTCGTGACCTTTAGAAAAAGTCCTGTGAAATGAATTGAATGGCAGTTCAGCGGCTTACAGAGGTTCTATTTTTGGACGAAAGTATGTACAATTTGTGGTTTAGTTCTTTGTGCAAGTAGATAAACAGAGTTTTTCATACTTACCTTACTCTTGTTTCGACGCCTACATACAAAGAAACAGAAACATACTACAGGGCCATAATGTATACTTACATACTTTGCATAATTAATACTGACTTTATTTTGTAATAAATGTTTAATTAGCTACATTGATTGTTAATTAATTTAAAATTAATCCTCATCGCCTTTATATGTATTATTTATTACTTTAATTTCCTATCCATAGTGGCCAAATTATGTAGGCGTTTCTGTAACTTATAAAACTGTGTCTAAAAACACATTGCATTGTATCATGTTCCTATCAACGTCAATATTATAGCGATTTTCACCATCAATATTGGAATGTGTCACACGTTTTCTTTCTTTTTAAACATATTTATTGTATAAAAGTTTTATGTGTCCACGAAAAGTGCCTGTCGCAAGTGATCATTAAAAAAATTACTATACGTACTAGCCGCCAATATTACCTTTTCAGTGTCCTTTAGACTCTCGTATAGGGCTCCATGATGGCGTAACTGAACGATATATACCACGGAAAGATGACACTTATGGCATATTGGCATTGATTTGTCATTAGCCACGTTTAGCACTGGTTTTGAAATAATAATCGAACTTTTACACTTAAGTGGTAAGGTTAATGTTATTGCAGTCATCTGACTACTAATGTTAATAATGATTTTTGTAATGATGTGTAAAAGCAAAAAGTTATAACTACTTTGCTTTGCTATTTATGGTTTTTAATTGAGTACAAAACGGAATTTATACGATTTACTTGAAATTTCAGCCAGGTTAGTTTTTTTTACATTTAAATATATAATATCTCTCGTGATGTATAAATGACTAGCGTTGGTAATATCTTTCATAGTAAAAGGTTGAGTATTTAAAGCGTAACAAGTAAATAAATAGACAAACAAATTCCCTTTCGTATTTCTAATATTAGTTTAATGAATCACCAAATTGACAACTAAACTGCACATAAATTAAAGAAATCATAGAATCTAACCATTATGTTTGGGCACGATCGGTGCAATTCCAGCGTAACTTAGGGTAAACTTTTAACTTTATAAAAAATATCACCAACCTGCATCATGAGAATTTATTTGAATAAAAC